TAATTTGTATCAACAGTCCTTTCTTCCAGCTTATTCTCAGGCTCTGGATCAGTTAATATATGATTATACGAAATTTAAATTCTATAGATACCTTAAAATTCTTGGCAACAGAAGTTTGAATTCGACAGAATCATAATAATTACACATTTTATCTACTTTTAAAGTGTGAATGATTTTTTTTTAAAGGAAGTATTTAACAAAGATATTTATCTTAAATATTGTTTTGGTTTTTTTTCATGAGAGATTTTAAATATTTCAACGTATTCAATATATGATTGGGAGAATATTGACAAACAAATCTGAATTTGCATTACATTTGACAAATTTTTCGGTTCCTGTTTTCTAAGATTTCATGATAAAAATCTTATTTTTTTACTCCAAATAGTCATTTTCTGGTAATTAAATTTTGTCAGTTTCCGTATAGAGTCATCAAATTATGTTACGATGGAAAAGGAGTAGCATTTGACAAATTTTCCGGTTTCCTTTTTTCGGAGATTTTATGATAAAATCTTTGTTTTTGCCTCTAAATTCTAATTTCTGGTCAAGAATTTTTGTCAGTTTTTTTTTTATACAATCATGTTTGTGATGTTTCAAATAGATTTATATTGGAATGATATATGCTGCTCCATCAATAATATAGATATTAAAAATTCCCAGTTTTCAATGATTTTTTTTGTTGAAAAAACTATGATTTTAACCCAAATCCATCTATTTCCAAAGCTATTTTAAAATTTGTCAGACTTTTAGTATATTAAATATCATGACGCCTAGACACACAAATACTTAAACAGTTTCTGTTGCAATTTTGTTGATGTTTATGCCTTTTCTACATAGATTTACTGGACTATTAGCCACCAGCCTCTGATTTCAAACACATATTTTTCCATGGTTGAATAGGAATGCAAAATATTTTAACAATAACCTAGTGACACATGCAGAGATATGCCTTGCCTTTATCTTATTTTGATAGTATAATGCAAATCTTGAATTAAAAATCATGGCAATACTTTAACAAGTAAACTATGCAAAACATTCTTAGTCAACGAACAATGAATGAAGGTGAAGGGCCAGATAATCGATAGGCAACTGAGAAATTGCAATTGCTAGTAAAAACTGCATACCAAATATCATTGACTTACAATAAGTGGCTTGACCTGATCGCAAACTTTAGCGTGGGTCCATATAATCTTCATGAAATGACATGTGCTACACCTGTTTAAATATCATTGACTTTCCATTAGTGGTTCATCTAAAACTGACCTAATCACAATAACATGTAAACTATGCAAACGTTTCAAAGTTAGTTAAGCACGAGTGAGGGGACAAGACCAAATGATCTCCATAGAAAATTTTCCAGTGATGAAACAAACCCTTACCTCATATCAATAAAAGAGAGGCAAAACATACCAAAAGAACATTCAAACTCAAACACTCAAGTTAAAAACAAACTGATAAAGCCACGACAAAAAACGAAAAACGACTAAATGACAAACATCAGTACACTGGAATATCCTTAAGATGGCTACAAAAAAAATAAAATTGTGTGTCAGAATTGTTCTATCAGGAAGTTTGAAAAAACAAATTCAAAAGATAGCCATTTCCATTTTCTAATTGTTAATTACAGAAGGAAATTTCATTAAGCACACATGTACAATGGATACCTAGAGGCGAAAATATGAGAGCTGGTTATATCAATAAAATTATCGATTACGAAATCGGGTGTTTCAGATCTCTTCTTTACCTTTAACATGACCAGACTCAAGCTAGCGAACAATAAGCCAGCGAACAATAAGATGCATCAAGCTAGCGAACAATAAGCTAGCGAACAATAAGAAAACGCGCCAACTTGATCATGCCTAAAAACCGAAGACTTGCAATAACATGAAACGTCCTTTGAAATCTGAAAGCCGGGCATCTAAAATTCCTTTTAGCTAATCCTTTCTCTTTTTAGTGTTCTCTGATTAGAGAATTAATTGTTATTAATTGTGTCATTATAATAAAGACAACAAACCCATCTCTAATCAGAGAACACTAAAAAGAGAAAGGATTAGCTAAAAGGAATTTTAGATGCCCGGCTTTCTGATTTCAAAGGACGCTTCATGTTATTGCAAGTCTTCGGTTTTTAGGCATGATCAGGTTGACGCGTTTTCTTATAGTTCGCTAGCTTGATGCATCTTATTGTTCGCTAGCTTGGTGCATCTTATTGTTCGCTAGCTGGAGTCTGGTTTTAACCTGTATAAGAATGAATTTTCTTGTTGGTCTTATCAGTCAACGAAATGGTTCTTTCCAGGGGCTCCCTTGTTTCACTTTTCAATGTTGACAGTGTTCTTAATTTCATAACTGAAATTGCTTAGCACAATCATGCGTTACCCATCTCTTGCTAAGGAATAAATTGAAGATCGCATGAATACGGATTCAAATAAGGATGAATTATTAACTTGCAAGCCAAATTTGATGATACATAAGCGATATTTTTAAACCTATTTTGACAAAATTGAACCAAATTGACTGCCTATAGCGAAAAATTATTTCAAAATTCCACTTTTACAAATGTTTGAAACAAAAACACAAAATCTCGTTTAAAATGTTTGTCTAAATCTTAGCAAATGCCCCTTTAATATAAAATTAGATAATTATTATTTATTCTAGAATATAAGCTGTAGACTGTTTTACTCAGTCCTTTTATGTGAAAACAATAAGATTATACGACCGTTGTATTTAGTCTTAAGAGCAATCAAACATTATATAATTGCTTGTAATGTTGATGGTACTTGATTGTGCCGAAATGGGTATCAGCAACCTATTGGCCAATCGTTTTTCAAATATTGTTTGAGTTGGTAGTATAATACCGGGTACTAATTCTTCGGACAATTCTTGCACATTGAAAGCTAGATTACCAGAGTATTATTTGAGTTGACGTTCCCTAAACACTCGCTTTGGAATCAGACTAGCGTGACAATACATCCCGTTGTAGTTTACTACAAGGTTGACGGGGATGAGCTGCTCCACAAAAGTATAGTAGTAATCTCAGATGAGATGGGTCACAATTCAGCAACTGTACTATCCATCATCGACCAAATTATACCAGAAATAAAACAGCTACTTCCAACTGTAGAATGTATCCATTACTGGACGGATAGTCCGACATCTCAATATCACAATAAAGCAATATTTAATGCTATTGCTAATCACAGTCTCGATTACGGCATAAGGGCCAAGTGGAACTATTGGGAGGCCGGTCTTGGGAAAGGCCCATGCGATGGGATTGGAGGCACTAGTAACGAATGGCAGACGAAGCGGTGCGTACGGGGAAAGTCGCAATACAAGATCCACATGATTTCTACGCATGGACACAATCACAATCGTGTAGTTTAAAGAGCATCAAGTTCATTTTCTTGCCTAAAGACCAATGTGAAAATAAAAGCAAACTTATTTCCAAACAAAAGCTTCGTCCAATACCAGGTACGATGAAATTACACGCTGTAGCAGAAAAGGGCAATGCTGTAGTTGCTGTTCGTAATACAAGTTGTTATTGCGTAACTTGTTTGTCAGATGAATTTACATGTGAAAATTGGCAGCTGGAAAGAGTTTTGAAGACTGGAACTCAAACGGATGAAACAGCAGAGGCTTCAGATGAACCCAGGGAAACTTATCCAGACGTGGAATATAGCAGTGCAGATTACGTGGCTGCTATCTACTTAAATAAATGGTACATCGGTCAAATAAAAAAATGAAGATATATTAACACCATTGAAATCTCTTTTCTAGAACAGAAGAAAGCAATGTATCAGTGGCTAAGTAGGTCCGATGTTATTTGGGTTGACCGTAAGGAAATTTTGTGCAAGATTTCAAAACCACAACCCTCCGGGAAATCGAAAAGAATGCTTAAAGTAAACCCCGATGATGTAGCAAAAATTGAGGAACTTTACAGTAATAACAATTGACGTGAGCAGAAGATTATGAAATTTTGAAATGTTCGTTACTTATTTCAGTTTATTAAAGTTTACATGTTGTTTCATTGAATTGTCTATAATATACTCTCATCACTTTCAACTGGAAAGTAAATTTTAACTTTTAGTAGCTATATTTCATTCTGAAATTTACAAGAAAATGCGTTTCTGTATGTTGTCATTACAGTAACGTACATTTCGCTTTGGTTGAAACATCGGGAAGTCCTTAATTTCAGATATATATCAAGTTTCTATTATAATGTTGCACTTTTTCATCTTTTTCCCACCATTTCCCAACACTGTCTCCATTCAGAAGGGGCATCGGCTGCTGCAACGGCTGATGTACTGAACAAAAATATGGTCGATTGAAAAGTAACATAGCAAAGGATGGTTATGTTAGAGTCCTTGGAGGATCGACTATCCGGTTCTTATAAAATTGGAATTGAATGCTGTGCTTTTCGCCTTTTCCTTATTTTTCGAAAGCTGCACATTGTCCTGCGAGCTGATCCGACATAAAAGTATTGAGTTTATTTAGTAAATTTATGTTGGTCTGAATTAATGAATTAGAATATAAACTCATGAGCGCAGTGTTGTCAGTGTATGTCCCTGGTACTCGTCACCTTAAAGCTTTCATATGCAATTCCAGAATTGTAAATTCAAAACATTGGGATACAGCTAGGTGGAGCATACGTGTCTACCGACAAATCTAGTTTAATCGAAGGCTGCGAGTCTAAATAGTTTGGATAAGTTCTTCGATGGATGGCAAACTATGACACATACTGTATCTTTGATGAGTATATGAATGCCTTGTTGGTGGAGAATTGAGTTTTGTTTCATTTATAATATGTTATATTCTTTAAGTTCGATTTAGAACATTTAAGTGTGGAGTTTTGAGTTTGTGAAAAATATAGGGATATGCATGACTCGTATTCGTGCTTGTTTTAGTGTTCTACCTCATTACAAAATGCATTATAAGAGATGTATGTTATATTAGGATCAACAAAATGCATGAAAAAAACAGAACAAATTTCACTATCGATATAATATTTTATTTGATTATTTATCTAAATAAAACCATAACATCTGAAATAACATAATTTCACCATAATGACACGTATTTCTTATCCAAGTTATTTGCCGCATTTGCTATATATTTTGATATCCCTTCAACCTTACATTTTCATTCAAGAAAGCAACTGAATGGTAACAAAATACAGTAAAACATGTCGGGCGGACAATGCATTGCTTTACCGCAGTTTTTTTACTTAGAAGCGAAAGAATTGCGGAAATGACAGCTATAATCTTGCAGAGTAACTTTATAGAATTGTAATGTTAACCAGTAAAATGGTAATTGATGCCAACCATAAAAAGCAATAACATGGTAATTTAGTCAAAATCAACACGACATATATATAAACAGTCGCCTTAATCTTATTAAACAAATATATATGATAACATTTAGTATCCTTTTGCAAAACCTTTTGTTATAAGCTGTCCCTTTTCTTGCAGGTAAAGAGCTGGCCAGACGGGTACCTTAACTTTCCGTCCTTTATCTTTCTGTTTATAAAATATATATTTTGTTGTATCAAATGTTTCGTTATATTCAGGCCAGGCAATGTACATTGGAGGATCAAGAATACACATGTACCACAATAACTCGGCTGCTTTGTGGATAAACTTAATGACTGAAGGTGACAATCGCTGGGTATCCATACCAAGCTCGTCCTTTATCACTTCAACTTTAAACCGCTGCAATAAAATAAATCTACTTTAACGTATCTGTTTAAAAAAAGTTAGTGTAATTATTGATATAATAATACAATTAACAAGTGCGAGATATAAGTTATTGGTTTGATAGTAAAGAAAAAGGAAAGAATTACAATAAAAGCAACAAAAACAGGTAACAATTTTCCTCGTTCAGCGTTAGGTTCCATTAATTAGTTTAAAAAAAGTTCAGGATATGTTACGGTCGAGTTTCCATAATTTCTGAGAGGAAAAGTCTTCTTTGCCCAAATTATTTTTAATTTTCGAGATATATCCATATAACAGAACACTCACGTAGTAAAATAATTAGACCGTTGGTTTTCCTGTTTGAATTGTTTTACACTAGTCATTTTGGGGCCCTTTATAGCTTGCTGTTCGGTGTGAGCCAAGGCTCCGTGTTGAAGGCCGTACTTTGACCTATAATTGTTAAATTTTTATACATTGTGACTTGGATGGAGAGTTGTCTCATTGGCACTCATACCACATCTTCTTATTTATATTTGAAATGTTGTAAACAAGTCAACAGTTTTACAAACAATAAGTTTTCATCAAGATTCAAATTGTTATTAGTTATTTAACATACATCTACCACAGCATCAACTGATGAGGTAGCCATCTGCTTCCTAAAATCTCTGGCTTGTTGTAAAACTAGATTGGACGACAGTCTCCCTGTTCGTGGTGTTTTTGCTACTGTGTTACTCTGCAATATCATAACAATGTACACATTTCTTGCACTTTCAAAATAAGTTCAATGCATGAAAGTTCTAATGATATAACGACTTTTTGCATTCTTGCATAACCACTTTATCAGTTTATTTTTATACATAAATCTGTTGTTTTTTAATCAAATCAAACATTTCCTTTACTGATCATTTACGACAGAGAAGATTAATAGATTTCATTTTGAACCAGAAGGAGTCACTAAAAACTGAAATTAAACCAATTGAAAACTAATGTTTTTTGTAGCCTAACTGACTATTGCGTCAGACCCACATATATTTGAAAGATCATACATTCTTTAAGTTTGTACAGTAAATACATATATTATTAGTTGTCTTTTCTACTTTTTATAATAAAACCAATGGCGCCTCATGTCTCAATCAAGATATAGAAAACAAAATATTATAATGATCAACCATTTAAACACTAAATACTTCATAATGATACCTCTATTTTGCAGATACATTAAATTTTTCTTTTTAAAAGTTAAACCGCTGAAATACAAGGGAGTGGTGGTAAAAACATCAAGTAGTTCAAACAACTGTCTCAAGTAAATCTTTTTACCATCTTACCAATCGAGAAGCAGGTTTTACACCAGGATCTGCTACAGGTTGTGACATGGCCTCAGAAAGTTCATCTAACTGCTCTGCGGCCAGCTTTTTACACCAAGTGTAGCCATACTGTAGAAATAGGGATAGCTATTATAAAATCATGAGCATAAAATATGTACTAATTTAGTATAACGATAGTCGGTATATTATATACTTGTATCACATTTGATGGTACCTATACTTCACAATACGTGTAATTAATACATTTGCTATTTCATTTTAATTCAATTTAATTTGACAATTTACAGAATGATAATTTTACACTTTTTAAAACTGATTTACAAGAACTGTAATTTGTATTATTAGGAAATGTGGGTTGAATAATTATGTGTTTTCTTGTTTGAGTGCATTTAATTCTACATCTTATCATTGCATTCATTTATTTTTTTAAATTTTTATAGTAACGAGGGCTCAATTTAATTTTTTGCATAATCAGGTTATATGACATTTTTATATGTATTTTAACCTTCTTTAAGATTACTCATTCAATTAACAACAATGATTCCGGAAAAGTACACACACTATACTTTCTACAAACAGAATACATTTCAAAGCCGCTCTATATTCTGTAATATTTTTATATATTCCGTGCGTCAGAAGCGCTTTTCTGGAATAAACTTCATCCGAAACGCTCAAACTTAAATATTTGAAATCAGGGATGTAAAATACGTAAAAAAGGACCTAAATAATAGCTAAATTGATCTAGGGTCAATTTTACCGTAGGAAGTTTAAAACTACGTTTAAAAAAACGGGGAAATTTAAAAAGAAGATGTGGTATGCTTGCCAACTCTCCACCAGAGACCAAATGACATAGAAGTTAACAACTATTTAGTATAGGTCACCGTACGGCCTTGAACATTGAGCAAAACCCATACCGCATAGTCACCTATAAAAGGCCCCGAAATGACAAATGTAAAACAATTCAAACGAGAAAACTAACGGCCTGATTTATGTACAAAACAATGAACGAAAAACAAATATGATATACAACCACTGAATTACAGGCTCATGACTTGGGACAGGCACATACAGAATGTGGCGGGGTTAAATATGTTTGCGGGCGTCCTTTATTCATGCAAGTCCGTACCGAAGTAATGACTTAAGAATAATTATAGACTTTTCTTTTGGTGTATAAAGCTAGAGCATCATGAACAGTGTTAGTAAATGTATTTTTTATATATATTTTCAGATCCTACAAGTCATAAACGTTTATACGACAATAAGCTAACTTGATAAAAATTCTTTTTTGCACCTACTCTGATTATTCGAAGTAGTTTATATATTGCATAGTCCTCCTCCTCTGATGTTTGATGCTTCCGTTGTCCTTGTTTGGTGCCAATCAATCCCACAGCAGCGTACCATTCTACTTCATACAGATTCTTAAATTTATCAGCTATTTTTGTAGGACTAAGATGTTCAGGAAAAGAATCCCTAGCGGATATGCTGCCAATCCTTTTATATGGTAAATAGACAAGAAGACGTTGTTAATATTACTTCTTAGCAATATCAATATATTGTATTGACACAGTCATGTAATTTTTAATTGGTTTGAAATGAGCTAAAGTTGAATATATTAATTATTTTTACTTTCTTTTCCAATATTTTGTCTAGAATAGATACTAAAACCGCTCGTTATTTTTTCGTTCAAAACCACATTAGCATATTATCATTGCATATATATGATTGTTATCTTTACTATGAATAATGAATGAAGAAAATCACTTTATTACCTGCTTCTAAGTTCATTTATTTCTGCTCCTTTTCTTGCAATAACTTCTTCTTGTTTACCCAATTTCCTTTCTAATTTTTCATAGGCTTCTATTGGAACATAAGAGATGGATAGAGCCTTAGAATCAGATCTTGGAGATTCATAACTCTGACTACGAGGACTATATTCATCTTTGGGTTGCAGCCCCGGTATGGAGGTATGGACGTTAGGAATAGCTTTGTAGGTACCACCATCTTTACCCTGCAGTATTTGGTGAAATAAAAAGTAAACATGTGTAGTATTACTATGAAATGTATCAATACAACGTTTGCATCTCTCAGATGATTAATTAAATTTAAGAAGTCGTGCCACTTTGAACCATTCTTACAATAAAGTCAACAATTCTTCACCGATATTCAAATCTCCTAAATCCATTTATAAGATACACATCATGGCAAACACAAAATCGCATGAACTCCAAAAGTGGCAAAAGTAGGTGCGTCGACAGGGTAAGCGTCTCCTGCTATGCATGTTTCACCCGCCATGCGAATCCTCACTCAATCAAAATTTACAAATCAGATGACTATAGAAAACAATAACAGTCTCTATGGTATAATTGACACCATATTTTCATCAACTGATAGATATAATATAACTAAAATGGCTGAGTAAATCTAATATCATTTGGAATATTTCAAAAAAGTTTTCAAACATTATATAGCTAAGATGACCACTGCAATCTAAAATGTATAATCTAATGATGAAGTATTATAGGTACATTATGCAATTATAGATTCGATCATTGCCATGTGAAAGAGAAAATTTGTAATTCACAATTTTGAAACAAGATCAAATAGTCAGCATACGGCATGGCATTAGGAAGCACAAGTAAAATTGACACTATTGGACTAGTGCCCGTGGGATGGCAATGACAAGCCAATTCAACACATCTGTAAATATATTGTAGAGAGTCCAATCAATATTCAACCATTCATACATAAGTGGTCATTTAACGTTTACAGAATACGTCTAAAAACGTTAATTTGATTCCTATGGGCTTTTCTTCAACACAAAATTGGTTCAACATCTTAGGTTAGTATGCTAAATGTGTAGTGTGGCTAAAATACACCACACTCCTAGCCCATACATTACCAGGTACAACTGGTAACCTCTTTTTTCAGTCTTTTGCTTGATCCTATAAGTTATAATCATTTTTATTTGTAAAACACTCACATATGAACGTTCTAAGTCACTATAAAGCTTTGTAAAGTTCTGAAGTTCTCTAAATTCTTCCATGGCTGTTTTCCCTTTAGGTCGCCAGTTATCACAAGCTTTCTTTAGAACTACATACAGGTTACTGGCAGTCAAAAAGTCAGAATCAGCTGCTATCTGCTTATCTATTCTTTGAATGTTTTGTACGTATGCATTATACTAAAAATAACAAGATTTATTAAAGACAAGAAATGTGGTATGATCGCCAATGAGACAACTCTCCATCAGAGACCAAATGACATAGAAGTTAACAACTATATGTCATGACCACCGTACGTTCCTTTGTATTACTCGTGCAAAGTTTTGTCCTACTTATCCATGCTTCTATCTTAAATTCAGTGGACAAGTATAAATACTTTCTTTTTCATATCGATGACAATTAAATTTGCTTTACTTTTACCATATATAAGTCAAACTTCGTTCGACAATGATGCACGTATGAAACAAGTGTTCCCTTCCTCTCTTTCACATACATACGCTTAAATGACAAGCTCGAGTATTAATCATTTTAACAGGTTTACTTTTGGATAAGAAGTATGCAGTATTAAAGCATTTATACATCATTTAATTTAGAATTAGATTATGTATAGGATAGATTCAATCTCTGGATAATGTGAGAATTTTAAAAATAGGTAAATTCGAAAGTTGTTTAGGTTAAGATATTTGGATCAGAGAAGCTTACTACTTCAACATTATAATTTACGTTGATAGACGCTTAACGTTAATATAAGTTTATCGCTTTATGCTTTTACAAGTGTCTTTTGGTTACTAATTTTCGCTTTATATATTGAAAATCATTATTTTCCGTAAAAGAAACTATTATTGTCTTACCTCTTTACAAGATTTTATTTCACAACATATCAAATTATATAAAACAATATCAAATATTATCAGATTACAATTATATTAACAACTTTAATTAATTAAATTCATAATGTGCTACATATAAATATAAGATAGCCATTTAACCTTGTCTCGATACTTCTTGAGGAGGTGGTATTCATTATCCATAAGTGTGACATATTCTCGGTCCGCCACGTCTAATGTCCGCTTGTTGATATAGGACTCCATGTCTTGAAGAATCACCTCGATATTTGGCCGTCTTCTGTACTCTCGGGGGATGAAATAATCACCCCGACCAACCGGTTGTATTACTGACATTATAAACTTTCAATGATCTACAAATAGATAAAACAGATTACCTGTAAAATAAGAACAAAATATAGGGAGGATTTTGCTAATCGGTTAGCAATCATATGCGACAATGAAAACCCATAACTCCTAAGGAAAATCTAGGAACAAAACTTTAATGATTAAAACAAAATCGTTGGTGGAGAATGAGAAAGGGTATATCGAATTGTATTGTAATGTTCCGAAATTATATCATTTTCCCCTAACAAACTAGGTAGCAAAATTATATAAAGTAATGGCAGTCAGTAACAGCCAAATGAAAATCGACACCTCAATATGATCTGCTATATAAAAAATCCTAGCCAGTTAAAAAATAAATAATCGCATTTTTTCTTGATATTCTATTGTGTTGCCAATAAGATATATGTTTTCTAACATTAAAAAAAACTTAAGAAGTATGACAGCCCTAGCATGAACAGTTGACGAAACTCTGCTATAGGAAAATCTTTTTAAAAAGAACGAAACATTGGACATGAGTAAACAGTATTCAAACTTCATATGAAGCCAATAAGGTCTTTTTACAATTTATCATGCGATTGAAATATATTGCTAGTAAAATTGGATGGGAAAGGCAGCATATAAATGAAATATTTCAGGAAATGTTATTGTCTTGAGAGTTTAGTAAAAATAAAAAAAAAATAAAAATAAAAATAAACAAACGAACGTGTTTCGAAACATAGAAAAACTCGATCAATAATATCACGATTAGATACTATACATACGGATATTGATTAAAGCCCACTTTTGAAATTCATGAACAATAAAGAAGCCCAAGAATCGTAGCTTAAATGTTTGCTATATTTGATATTAATTAGGCATTAGATCCTTGTAACCGTTAAATTATGGAAGGTTTGACTAGTTTGTATATGTACAAAGCTATGTAGTTATACCATAAAGAAATAAAACTTCGTAAAAGAAATAAGAAAGGAGATACTTGCAATATGTATATCTCAAATATATTTAAAACAATTATGCCGATGGTGAATTAGTAATGTCTTAAAGATGTTCTTTAAATTAATTAAGGAAGAATAAAAAGTTACAAATAGGACCATGAATATAACGAAGGACATAAAAATAATCCCAAATCACCAATAATTCACAAAACATAACAAAGAAAAATAAGTCAAGTTTTAGAAACACAAACCAAATAAAAAGGGGTGAGGTATAAAGTGCTCCGGGAAGGGTCGGAAGAAACCTACTTATCTGGGTAAAGCCGCGATTCGGTTGTTAACTTAAGTAATGATCGGCGAAGTTTTGAAGAAAACTGGAACACAACCGTGAAATCCTATATTTTTCTGATATACGAAAAAGGGTATTGCCTAGATTAATGGCAATATGACCTCTGTTTGAAAAGAAAAGATAAAAAAAATAAACGTGTGCCTATAACATCTTTTTCCATATTTGAAAATTGATATCAAGAAGACAGCTAGCTGCAAGTTTGCATTGACATGAATTGGTATTTGTAAAAAGGCTTCCCGAATATAAATTATTAAAAACATAGATTGATTTAGAAAACAGATTATGCCCCTATGTAAATTTGAAGTTGAAGATGAATTACACTTCACCATAAAATGTACCAAACTCAATGAGTTGAGGAATATTTTTTTTCAGAATATTTCAGATTTTTTACCATCTTTCAATAATCTTTTAGACATTGAAAAATTCCATCTCATATTTCAAAGAAATGATTATGATGTAAGTAAATGTTGCATAAAAGGTATTTTAATGTGATGTACAAGTTCAGGCGTTCACTAACTTGAGTTATTTTACGTTATGTGTTATATAAATTGTATTACTATTATGTAAGACTGTACCTCCTCAGTCAAATAGATAGAAGGGAAAAAATAATAATAATAAATTGCAAAATTCTATATATCTTTTTCTATTTCTTTTTATGTTTTGTTTTGATATATTAAACATATATACTACCATTTTATGTACATATAATTGATTGTAATGATAAATGTTTGTTCTTTGTTTGTGTGTTGATGACAATCCAGATTTTGGATTTTATATCAATAAAATCTTTGACTTTGACTTTGACTTTGGCTTTACATTGATTTTAATATATTTTCGAGCGACTCCGTTAGTAGGTCATTTTGTGAAACATCGTTATTAATGTATAATGACAATTACCATGGCTGCGAATACCCAAAGGATCAGAGTTGAAAATATGCAACACATTCACACGCATCAGGATCATCATGATATTGACTAGCTATTACATCAATTTTGCCATCAGCAGAACAAAAGAGTATTGCAGTTTTTAGTGAGTAGGTCTTTGCCTTCTTCGGATCATCTCCCCTTTTATCAATAATACAATATGAATAATATCATGTGAAGTTGAACCTAACTTCAGACTCGTTTGAGTAAAGATATATCTGGTTGGGTGTATATTCATGGTATATAAATGATTCTCGTATTGTATAAATTTGATTCTAAAATTCTGGCGAAAATCATGAACCTTTGTAAAGTTAAAGAATTTCATAACTGTTAAAGTACGTTGTATATATGGCCATATGTGTAAAAAACGGTATTTTAGTGTCATTGAGGATACTTTTCATAATTATCAAAATCAGTTTTAATAGTTCATATCTTTTATTGCAATTTGTGTACTTTAACCTATCACATTCACTGTCATGAAAAATTTACATAGTCATCCTATATTCTCATTGTGGTTCTAAAAATTGCATGTCTATTTTTTATTGTTAAAAAGAAGCGGAAGATACAAATGGGACATTCAAAATTCATAAGTTGAAGAGAAACTGATAAAGCCATGACACACAAAAAAAAAAGAAAAACCACAAAAAGAAAAACCATTCCACAAAATACTACAAAGAAAACTATAAAGACTGAGCAACACGATCACCACTAAAAACCAGTTTGAACTCAGATGCTCCGGTAGAGTCAGAAGATCTTTAAAATGTCACTAACGATGGCATACAAATTCGTTTGAATTACTTTAGAAGGATTAATATTAGATTGATACATTTTTTCTACTAAAATATAACATGTACATATGCAACGAAATATTTTGAATACATGTTCATGTATCAAAATAAAGAATTTAATTATGTTTAAATCCTGGCACCGTTTCCTTACCTTCTGTTAGAATCTTTAAAGTTCCACTGAAACTTAATATCGGAAATATCGACTAAATGAATGTTTAATAACACTTTCAATGTTTTTGAATAGAATTAGATATACCTTGACAAATCAATATAAAGTTTCATTGTCTAAAATACATGATCTGTCAAACAACCAGAAAAGGCCCACAAAGCAAATAAAAAGAAAGTTTAACAATGTATTGTTAGACAATTTTATGAATGTCATGAATGGCTTACAACCTAGTTAAATGGGTTCATAAAATCAAAACACATGCATATTTGTTTTCACGATAACATTTTGTTCTATCAACTAGATTAAAAAGTAAACGCAAATATACTGTATTGATTTTGTCCACAAGTAATGATATCGCTGTAACTTTGGAATTCCGATATAAATGTTTAAGGAGGAACAACTCTCTGTATTTGCATTGTTTTCTTTCTATAGAATGCATTGCAAATTAATTTGAAATTCAAATGAAAAAAAAACCAGTTTTTGGATAAGAATATTCCATCAGTAAATCATTTTTTTGAATTTTTAACCAGTGTGTTTAAATATAATGATTTATTTACTGAAATTAAAATGGGAGAACTGCTACCTCTATTTGTCTCTCAAGCTTTTCTCGAGATGTGCACCCTAAATCTCCTTTTATTCATGTCAGATAGTTTTTATATCTTTTTTAATTTTGTAAAGAAATTACACTCCATCAATTAACAGTATTGTGGGTCATACTCTATTAAAAACTGCTTTCATCTTCTTCACTTAGAATTTTGACGGTCATTGTTGACATTCAAATAGATACAAACTAAACGATTATTTTTGCTGTTCTCAATTCTTATAAAAACAATTCCGAAAGATAATGATTAAAAGTAAAATTGAGAACGGAAATGGGGAATGTGTCAAAGAGACAACAACCCGACCATAGAACAGACAACAGCAGAAGGTCACCAACAGGTCTTCAATGCAGCGAGAAATTCCCGCACCCGGAGGCGTCCTTCAGCTGGCCCCTAAACAAATATATATACTAGTTCAGTGATAATGAACGCCATACTAAACTCCAAATTGTACACAAGAATCTAAAATTAAAAATAATACAAGACTAACAAAGGCTAGAGGCTCCTGACTTGGGACAGGCGCAAAAATGCGGCGGGGTTAAACATGTTTATGAGATCTCAACCCTCCCCCTATACCTCTAGCCAATGTAGAAAAGTAAACGCATAACAAAACGCACATTAAAATTCAGTTCAAGAGAAGTCCGAGTCTGATGTCAGAAGATGTAACCAAAGAAAATAAACAAAATGACAATAATACATAAATAACAACAGACTACTAGCAGTTAACTGACATGCCAGCTCCAGACTTCAATTAAACTGATTGAAAGATTATGTCTTCATCGTATGAATATCAGGCACAATCCTTCCCGTTAGGGGTTTAGTATCATACCATCATAACATATATGAGAAGAACATAACCCGTGTCATGCCAACAACTGGTTTTTAAATAAATGTGTTTAGTGCCGATGCAAAGACCCTATAAGTGAATCAATATTAACGCCAATGAATAAAAGTGTTTATATTAGTTTTGTTGTCAATTTTCTTTAATTGTACATTTCGCTTCATAAATATATGCCGTATAGCTAATATCCAGTGTAGAGCGAGACATCAAATCGTATGACGAATGATTTTAGCAAAACTAAAGCTTTTTCAATGGACCAACATGGACTCACCCAGTATTTGGGTTTCCCTGCTATATTTGTCAATCAAACAGTTACTATAACTACCATTCGTCGATCTTTGGATATTATTTGTTTCTTGGTTGTCTGCGTTAAAATTATTCTTTGTTGTTTTTAGGATAAATTAAACTATTACTTTTCTACTTTGAATTTTCACATTTGATCATCCCTGGGCCTTCCATAGCTTATACTTAAGGAATCACATTAATGTAGTTGAAGAGTTGCTGTCGTCAATTGGTAATTTCAATTGCGACGCGTATCGGAGCCAGTTAAACGGATATTTGCCACCGTCAAATCAAAAACTCTTCAACTACAGTACTGATATTCCGGGTCTCATGCATTACAAAATGAAAAAAAAAACGGTTGAGCTTGAAAGTACTATACGGTATAGGTAATGTTCATTGTTGAAGGTCTTACGATGACCTGTAATTGTTCACATACTTGTTCTTTCGTCTTTGGTGGATAGTTGTCTCATTTGCAATCACACCACATAACTTTATTTCTATATTTATTTTGTTCAACTTTGCAAAACAATATCAAAAATTATTTTTCAGTTATATCAGATTTCATATATACCATTCTACTAAGAAAACTCAAAATATGTATCTATGATTGTGTGTAGTATATGTAATATAAACGACATATTTTGAAAAATGTAGAAATTTAAAAAATACACATTTTAAATTAATATATCACAACAAAATGAACAAATTGTCCCATGAAGGCTTGTCAGATTTAAATAATTTGAACCATTACTGAATCCTCCCCTCCCCCCCCCCCCCCCCAAAAAAAAATCAAATGGATCAAATATGATTTTCCAAGTTCGTTGTCAAGATTTATGAAGTCCTGTCATTTCATTTAATAAAAAAAAAGACACTCCGGAATTTTGTGCCAGTGAAAGTTTTAAGAGAGGCTGTATTTTTCACAAATTAAGGCAGTCAGCTATATTACTGATTCAATTTCTTGAAATTCTTCATTTGCAACTGAAATTGTTTAACAAAATAGACTGAAATGTTTTCTTGGATAATTTGAAGACTATGCACTTACATCATGATAGCTAGTTGAAAAAATGTTCAATTCAGCAATATCTTTTGACCAGATACATCTGTCAATATTCATTATTATGTTTCAAAATTCTTCACTTGGTGAATCAATCAAGTGGGGTTCTATCTGTGGCATGCACACATTTCTATGAAATTCAGACACTTAAGCTGTAATGGTGGTGATACATGAACATTTTAAAGAGTGTGACGATGAAATAGCATTCATTACGTTCTACGGTAACCTTTAACTTATAGCAACTTATACTTATTTAGTGATGCATTTGTTATTGCAAATGGAACTTTTTTCACGTTAAAGATATCTTACATAAACCAGAAAAATAAATAACATTGACTTATTTTTGTTAAGATGTTGTCCACAAAACTCTAGTGTCAAAATCATACAATTTAAATACTATATCAAGACGAACCAATGGTATTTCACATGAAATGTTATTGGAACAAGAACATCCCTTTGATATTTAAACAATTCATTTAGTCTCGATATCTGTTTATACCAGCAAGTAATAATATAAGCATTGAAATACTGCACGATGTGTTATTTTGGTGTTGTAGATCTTTTGATTTCCGTCTAACATTTATACATTTAAAAACACCTTTTATGTTTAATAGACACTGAACTGACTGAAGCCAAGTAAATACTATATTGCACTTTCGATTTCTGTTTTTAACTCATTTGGAAGGCCGTTTTGGAACGACATGGCCATGCCGTATCACTGGACCACCATGATATAAAACTAGTGCCGGCCAAATTGTATATTCTGTCACCTTGCCTTTTACCCGAAAATACATAAATTTACTCATGTCGATTTGCTCATCACGTCTGGCTAATACAAATCTCAGAGGTGGATCATGAACACTCATTAACCATGTTATCTCAACACATTTATCCAAATAGTTATTTAGTCTATCGACAAGCTGAAATTCGGACCAGTTCAGGTTTTCCTGGAGGTAGAGCTTTTTAAAAAGCTGAAATAAAAACAAAAAGTGAAATGACAAAAGTAAAGTATAATACTCTGCGACAAAAATAAAACTGAACGAGAGTCGGACATAAAAAAACCAATATGTGTACCTGTATGTATAAATAAGAAGATGTGGTATGAGTGCCAATGAGACAACTCTCCATCCAAGTCACAATGTATAAAAAGTTAACAATAATAGGTCAAAGTACGGCCTGTTTGGTCCATATAAGAACGAATTTAATTTCTCGATTTTCGTAAGAACCATGTGTATAAAATCGCAAAAGCGTGTGTATATATCTCCAATGTTAAAATTTAATATGTGCATGTAACTGCTTCTTCCGTATATACAGTACAAACATATTTGCGTTAAGTACTAATTTATATTTTAAAGGTAAATGTGACAGATTCAGGTGGTTTAGAATGCTGAAAAGGAATTTTCAAAAAACATACTTACAGAAAAGAGAGACGGTAAAGATTTCATAGCCGTCGCTTTTCTTACTTCTTTAGCATACATTTCGTTCTGCTCAGTGACTTCAGCATCATCTTTGGCCCTTTTACGATATTCCTACAAATATAAATGGAGATATTATACTTTCAATTGCATGTACCAGTTCTTGAGAAAATAAAATACATAACACACTCACAGTTATTTAAGTTTTGAATTCTTATTTACGGAGGAGTGAGATATACTTGATATTTTGTTTTGAGCCTTAAATGTTTGCAATATACAAACATCAAATACAAGCAAAATGAAACTACTGATTTAACATCATGTCATGTGTAGATTAACCTTACTTGTCCTTCCATGTGTAAAGTAGGTTCTAAAACAGATTTATTAAGATGGCTAACTAATTTCTCCTGTTCGTCTCTAGCAATGTCTGAACTAAAGTCGTAGGCTTTCTAAAATGAAAACACAGTAGGTAGCTTCCTTTCTACATTAAAATATATGAGACATATTAGTGTATATGTTTTAATAAAAATAATCTTTAAAAAAAATGTTTTTATTTAACTCCATTTTTTTATATGAAAATTTAAAGCATGAAGACCGGGTCATTTTACCAATGTTATAGCTTGTGTCATAAAATGTATATTTGAGAGGTTCTTGCATCTTCTGTTTATCAAAATAGGCAATTTCTTTGTATTTGAAAGACTATTGGTATGCTTTTTCATGATAATGGAAATCTTAACAGCTTCCAGTTTCAGAGGTTTTCTTATTTCCTTTCAGATAAGTGATGTTATCTACCTTCCCAAGTTTGTTAGTGTACTCCGTTTAATGAAGTTTTAAAACACTTGATTTTTATTCGATCCAGACGAATGGTGCCTTTAGTGGTGCAGGATCTACGTTCTCTTCCGTTTTTTTATGTGGTTAGAAATACTAAATCTTTGTTTTTTCAGTTCCGTGTTATGTGGACTTTTTTCTTCCGTTTGTTCTTTCAAACTTATGTCGCATTTTTCTCATGAATTACAAATCAGAGCTTCCAGAAACTTAGTATCAAGCTTCAGTTGAGCATGCTATATTATGTGATGCATGTTCATGTTTATCACTCATCAATTTCCTGTTAACATAATACTTATATATTAGGGGGATAGCATTATTGAGCATTTCGCGGTTCAACTTGTTTTATTCTATTTTATTTGTACTGTCGTATGGTTTTATCTTAGCTTTGATGTAAATGTAAAATACAATATTTTACAAATAACCAAAATGTATCTGAAATTGCAGGTTTTTAATATATATATAAACCATACCAAAAGCATATCTCTAAGAAATATAAATGCTTCTGATTCTTCTGGATACAGTCCCATCGCTATTGGAAGTGCTTCATGCCATTGTATGTCAAACAAACCATCATAAATATCTCCTATTCTTGTAGGTCGTATGGGATTACCAGTACCAAGTTCTATGTAATGTCCGTGGTGTTGTCTTCTACTTGACCTACATATGTAAATATAAAAGAGTTTTATAAATTTCTTCACAATTGTCTGGGTAGACTCGAATGAGCGCGAATTATTGACCTTGGAAAACTATAAAATGATGTGCTTCAATTCATGCTACAGATATATTCTCTTTAAGCCAAATTTAATACGAATGAATATCTTAATGAATTGAAGATTCTTTTATATTTTATGCCATTCGCTGAATATTCTTTTGCGAAACATTTCAAAATTTAACGATGTGATATGATTACCAATAAGACAACTTGTATTCGTAATGAATAAAATAAGCAAATATTACCTAGAATTTAATTCATCGAGTTCTAGCTTCTGGAGTCTCATTTTTCTTCTCATGTCTTCATAATCTTCTAATGGTATAGTCACAGTATCTGGTAACTCACACAACCGAGACCGTTTCTTTTCATCTAACTATAACATGTTTATAATGCAGTTAGCTGCTGAATTTAAACAATGAACGTATAATAATAACTTTTGTAAGGACACAGTTTATGTGTAATTATCGACTATAAATATTTCAATCAGTCGAAGATAAATATTTCAATCAGTCGAAGAAGAAATAGTAAAATAAAAAAAAAAAAAAAAACAACATACGTCATAAACATTAACCAGGTAAAAAAAATCACACAAAAATATCACCTCATAACCATATTACATGTACAGGAGATAAAAGGAATCCGAGCTTAAATTAAGAAAAACGTCGTAATAAAGGATGATCTTCGTACATGAAACTTCAAAGTTAAAAAAAAATAATTAAGAAATAAAATTTATAACCTGCTTTGCTGAAATAAGATCAAATGCTTCCTTTACAACCAGGAGTCGACATAGCTCATCTTGTGCTTCTTTCTGTACAGGAACACCGTTTCTATCGGTGGTTAACATTTCATATAGAACATTGGCATGTTTTTGCAAGGGAGCTAATGCTTCAATTCTGTCCACACCCTGCTTCTCTACAGCTAAGAATTCCTAAAAGACAAATAAACATCAAGTACTAAATGCTGTTATGAAATTAAATAAAAAGTGGTGACACATGTCCATTGTTGAAGACCTATGCTGATTTCTGGAAGTATTGTTGTACAACCAACATTTCATTTTATTTATTAATAAAACAATAATGAACGTTCTACGTAATCAATAAGATGTTCAAGATCCGTCGCCTGCTTATGCTGCATAAAGATAATAAGAAATCGCTAATTGTATAAACAACATAATTAAGGAAGGAGTAATTATAGTTTAAACATATCATAACCAATGTCTTCAAAATTCCATCCGACAGTTATAGTTAATAAATGCAGAAATCTGAACGTTTAATTCTATAATATGAATACAACAACTTACTTTCCCTGGGTATATTTGAAATCTCTGATCCGCTGCCAGTAGTCCTTCATACTCTCCTTTAGCCTGTTTGATCTTTTCAATAGTATATGCATCTTTGACTTGTCTCAAGAGTCTAATGATTGCCGTCCGCCTTGATTTTGAAGATGCACTACTGGAACTTTTCTGGAATCAAGAAGTTCAAAAATAAATGTGTCAAAGTTTACGACAATAAAGACAAAAAAATACAATTTTGCTTTATTAATGTATTATCGTGCTCTTGACAACTCTTTATTAATATGGTAAAACTTATTGGAGCAGGACAGAATAATCCTAGATGTTACTGTTCTCATCTAATAATCAGAACTTTGTAACGGTAACCATTTTGATGCAATCGTTTTTTTTCATTTCCGCATACTGTCTTAAAGTTTCAAAGTTTCATAAAGTATCCCCTTTCCACATATGATTTTAAGTTGAATTACAAACCTGATGTCGAAGTGCCATTACCACAAATAATTCCACCGTGTTTGGCGAAGATAACAATTATCTAAAAAAAACATCCAGTTCAATAACTCACGAGAAGCAAACCATGACGGAACACTACCATCAAATCAAGATAAAATGTCAAATTATATAAATATTATTGAATGTTATTGTAATAATTCTTGTATTGTTAATATTAAACTACAAATCAACAAAAGACATTCGACATAACTGTGTCTATAGAGTGTACCTTGTTCTGATTGTAATCTGGACCTTTGGTATGCTGCAACCAATGTTTCACACATACATTTAATCGACTAAAACGTACAAGTTGTATTTAACGCATGTGTAAATTTCAATATGTACACAACATTGTCATTTTAAACAAAAAATAGACATGTTCTTTTATCATACGAAAATATTAATTGTTTAGATATTCAACAAATATTAAATCCATCAACATGCAATTCTGAAGCAGGGAACGTCAAATTTCAAAGGTTTGATACGCAGGCTATGTATTCCAAATGATTTTAAATACTTTCTTTACTTGGCCTTGTTAATTTTTTTTATTCGAGCGTCACTGATGAGTCTTTTGTAGACGAAACGAGCGTACACAATTTTAATCCTGGTATCTAAGATGAGTCTTTTACAACCACTTGGTCGATGCGACTTCTGGTGGAGGTTTTCTCCCCGGGAGCCCGAGAGTATCACCACCCCAGTGGTCAGCATTTCTGTGTGGACATGAATTATCATTGATATGGTCATAATAACAAAATAACTGTTTTCCAAACTTCCAAACTTCAAAGTTTTCGAAATACTAAGGATTTTCTATCCCAGGAATAGATTACCTTAGCTGTATTTAGCAAAACCCTTTTGGAATTTTGGGTCCTCAATGCTCTTCAACTTCGTGCTTTAATTATTTGGCCTTTTTAAATTTTATTCGAGCGCCACTGGTGATTCTTTTGTAGACGAAACGCGCGTCTGGCGTACAAAATTTTAATCCTGGTATCTATGATGGGTTTATTAGTCAAGTACCGTTAGAAAAAAGTGAGGTGCATGTTGAGAAAATAAGTTAGAAAATTTTTGTTTTAGTGATTATTTAGAATTAACAAAGTACGTGTACAAGACACGTCCCCAAATTGGTGATGAACCTCATAAATATATGATAAAACTAAATTTCAAACTTAATACAAATTAATGACGTATAAAACATGTGAGAGTTTTTGGATGCTGCTGTACTTCGAAAGATGCAGCCTATATTATTAAAGGCCAATTAGTATAGAACTCACTAAACTCGGACGTTAAACGTAATCTTATTCAATGAAGCGTTTAATATAGATCAGAGTGGCTTGAATCTTTTTGAAAGATACATGATTTATGTCAATTATATACTATAAATTGAAGGTCATTTAGTATGTGAAATATGAACGTGGACGTAATCTGATTGTATGTCACTCGTTATCATAGATATTAACTTACTTTGACGCTAGTCTTTTAAAGTTAAAAAATAAATAACCATATCCACTAATCATAAAATATAATACACTTCAACTACTCAAAAGATGTTCATAATTTTGTATTCGTCTGGGTCAATTTCAGATTCCATGACCCCCCTCACCCCCAAAAAAATAAAATAAAAGAAGACAAAACTGGGAGACATTGATGATCGACTATTAGGTCATTTACAAATATGGATAAAAACTATCGTTTGTACACTTAATCAACGTTAATCTATATGCATTGTTTGTGGAAAACCGTTTGTTAGCCATGATTACATGTCTTTTGGAATTTTGTGTTGTTGGTTCGCTGTCTCATTGACATGTTCCCCACATCTCCTATTATTCATACTCTTTCTCTCTGCCATGGAGCTCCAAAATTTACTAGTTGTTACCTCACACGAAAATTGTGCCTCCGATTCTCACTTCATGTAACACCTTTTATAGTTGACACTAATTCCACAACTAAATACTCGGTACTCACCGTGTCTGTTTCGTTACGTAAATAATGGTTAAATATCTTCCAAATGAATGCAATATGTCCGAAAAAGTTGAAGCATTTTTATCAAGAATTATTAGAATTTCTAACCAAATTTTTGAAGCTTGATATTCACAAATTGTTTCCTAAACAAATGCATTATTAAAAGCCTATCGAAATGTATACGTCGGTATAAATTGAAACATGATATTGGATGGTGACATAATTTTCAAGTTAGTCAGATTGGTGTGGAAAAAAAAAATAAAACTCTTTACTTTTTTTCTTTTATTCTTTTGTGACATTGGGGTGTTTGTAAAATGCTGGAAGACCTATAGTTTGCATTTCTTTATCACATCTCGTAGTAATATAAGAGTTATTGCACGAATATTGGTGAATATTGTTCAAAGTAGTTTTATATTGCACGAGCTTGCAAGTGCAATATATATCCTAAGATTCATTATATTCCTTAATATTCATGCAATATCATTTTTATTTAATAGCTTAGATTGAAATACTGCTTAAAAAATATGTGTTGTCACTGACGACGTTAATAAAGCTTTAGAAGAAGCTTTATTTGCACTAGTGCAATATGAGATATTATTATACGCTTACTTTTCTAGTGGTTACGTTCTATATGAAATACGTTGTTATTATACCCACTATTTAGGTCTCTTTCCACAGGACTTTCAATTTAAACAAATCGAAATCCAACAAAAACCATCATAATTGAGTTTACAAGATTTTAGTAGGTTAAGGATCTTGGTTCGTACATGTCGACTTCGAGGAGAAATAATAACAATTACAATTGTAAGGACGAAGGGTAGAAAGAGTGACCACCAAAAATATTTCCCTTTATTATTTCAAGTTTATTGCTGTTTTTGCCTTATTATCCTGTGGGAAATTTTCATGTAAATGCAGGACGAAAAAAATGAAGACGTATGGTTGTCATACCATAAAGTTGTTTATTAAATTCAAATATTGGTCTTTTAGGAAGGTTTGGATGAGGAGTCCCACAATTCTGTATTCTTTAATTTTTCAAGCCATTTTTCTCGATTCTTTATATTTTTTGCCCATTATTCGCTATTCTTTATATTCTAAAACCCCATTATTCTTATTTTTTTTTATTTTTTTTGCCTATTTTGTTCTATTCTTTATTTTTTTACCCCTTATTCTGTAGTATTGTTCCATTATTCTCTATTCTGTAAACCCCATCAAGACCCTCTCTTAGTGTATGAAACATAAGACTGCAATCTAAAGTGCACAGAGAAATACCAAAAGGGAGAGTAATGGTAAAAGGATGTTTTGTTTAAAGTCACTGTGAAAACTTTTTAAAATGCTAGATTTTTCAAAAACTGAATATCTCGGCCTAATTTTAATATTTTAATGTCAAAGTGATAATTCAAATGTATGTCTACTATCATTGCGTTCAACGTCCGCTATCTTTCTCAACATCACACTGTAAACAATTGTTAAACGAATATAAAAGCTCAACTCGTCTATAAAAAGTCAAAGAATGATTTGTACGTAGAACCAGTGGTCGATTCCTTTGCTTCAACCATAAGTTCAGTTTCTCCAAAAATCATTTTCACATCAACTTTCAGCTTTTCGTCGACTTCCGGCAGTTGGATGACAACCTTTCCCAAATACTCGCAACCTTTATCTGTGACATAACGAGGATTACTGTCTTCAGTCGCAAAGATTTTTAAAAGCATTTCTTTTTGGCGTTTCTTTATTGTGACGTGACGGCCACTGACAGCTTCGCCAACTTTCAGTGTTTGGTCGGCTTCTATGTACTTCTTGAAAACGTCTTTAACTCTGTCTGTACCTTCAATGCTAACACGTCTTTCTGGGGAATGTTCACCGGATTTAAATGGCGGAGAAATGTTAATTCCATACGTATATCTCGATATTCTGACGGAAATTGTTTGAGGTTGGTGCCCATACATAACGGCACCTTTCAAAACGGCTAAACCAGCTTCATCTGGAACGACGACTTTCTTGTCTGGAAACGCATCTTTAATTGCCGACTGCATTATGGGAGACTCGGAAAAACCCCCGACCATTAATAGCGTGCCTGCATCTTTTAATGAGCTTTTAGCCAATAAAGACTTCACGTGGTTTACCAATTGAGTCTTCGGTTCATTAAACAATGCTCGGAAAAGATTTGCCTCCATTCTTAACTTATCTCCAACCCATGTCATTTTGCCTGCATATGCCATCTGTTTTATTACGTCTTTGATTTCCTCTCCCGTTTCTTTTTCAAATGACTGAATTAGTGAAACGGGAACTTTTAACGTGACCTTTCCTTCGGTGTCGTTTTTAATGTTCCTCTTCTTTGTTTCCATTTCTCTTAAGATATCTAATGCATCAGCTTTATTTTTCTCTTGAAAAGTTCTAAAATGATGTGCACCAACAATTTTAATAAGAAGCTGATTGAAAGCTTCATCTACACGCGTACCACCCCATGAACCCCCACTTGGTTTCTGTAGTTCTCGAAGGCTACCCTCGGCGTCTTTCTGATGGCATGTTATATCAGCTGTTCCACCTGAAATATATTTTTTTAAATATCAGTTTAATATATATAAAAATAAAGAGATGTGGTATGATTGCCAATGAGACAACTCTCCACCAGAGACCAAATGACGTAGAAGATAACAACTATAGGTCACCGTACGGCCTTCATTAATGAGCAAACCCCATACCGCATAGTAAGCTATAAAAGGGCCCGAAATGACAAATGTAAAACAATTCAAACGAGAAAACTAACGGCCTGATTTATGTACAAAACAATAAACGAAAAACAAATATGATATACAGCAGCAAACGACAACCACTGAATCATAGGCTCCTGACTTGGGACAGGCACATACAGAATGTGGCGGAGTTAAACATGTTTGCTGGCGCCAAACCCTCCCCTTAACCTGGGACATTGGTGTTACAGTACAACATAAGCATTGAAAGGAGAGTAAAGAGCATGATATAGCTTTTATATTGAATCTGTTCTAGATGGAGCTTTAAATTATAATCAAGTAGATCTGATTATATAGCAGTAAATGATATACACAGTCTTTAGAATTTTTGTAGGTACAATACTTCGTCGGAACATTTAGCCTGAGATTCGCATCAGCCTAGATGCCGGTGTTTCGACAAAGATCACGATTTATTATATAACAAGAGGCTGTCAGAGTGACTGCAAACCGGATTTTCCTGCAGAGGTCGAACCCTGAACAGTTGAGCAAGTATGGACATATATTTACCTATTATGGTCCAATATCTAAAATCTAAGTACATATTAGAATCAGCATATCAAAGAACCCCAATAATTCAATTTTTGATGAAATCAGACAAAAGTTTAATTTAGGACCCTTTGGACCTCAATGTGGACCAATTTGATAAAGGGGCCTACAATCCAAAATCTCTAAATACATGGTTATATTCAGCATTTCAAAGAACCCCATAAATACAATTTTTGTTGAATCAAACAAAGTTTAATTTTGGACCCTGATTTGGACCAACTTGAAAACTGGGCCCAAAAATCTAATATTCAAATACAGGTTTAGATTCAGCATTTGAAAGAACCCTATATATACATGTATTTAATTTATATTGAAATGAAACACAGGTTAATTTTATCCATAATATTTTCTGTGCAAAGGGAAATAACTCAAACTGGATAAATAGTTCTCTAAAATAAGATATGATGCAATTTTTCAAATTATAATCAATAATATAATAACAACAACCAGTGATGACTAAGTTCTCTAAAATTAGATATGATTTAACACTCAAACATTGTTAGAATCAGCATATCAAAGAACCAAAGAATTTTTGATGAAATTAATCAAAAGTTTAATTTAGGACCTTTTGGACCTCAATATGGTATTATCTTATTAATAATGAAAGGAAATACAGGTTTAGATTAAGCATTTCAAAGAAGCCTATATATATATTCAATTTATGTAGAAATCAAACACAGTCTAATTTTGGACCCCGATTTGGACCAACTTGAAAACTGGGCCCAAAATCAGAAATCTAAATATATGTTTATTAATAGACAATATAAGCTTAGTTTTTAAAGGAGTTTACTTCATCAAAAAAAAAAATATATAGCATTCAGAAAATTAGTTTTTACAGAATAACAAACAAACTTGCCACAAAATTCTTCAAACAATTTACCAAAGAAAAGAAGAAAAAAATCCAAAATTTTATTTATCATTAACTAATTAATATAATGTCTTTTCAAAATCTATAAAACTTATCAGTAACAAGAAATCAAGAAATAATTGTAACAGGATGCTGTTACGAAGTCTCCCAAACAAAGCTCCAATAATTCGTCATTCCCATGGTCACCTGACATCGGGCAAAGTCCAGTACAAATTGGTTTGTGATATGCATAATCGACGCCTATGGATTGACCCTGTATGTCATTCAAATCTTCTTGAAATGACGAAGAACAGGAATATATATGGTTTAGGGGTGGATATCTCGACCGTTTACAAGTTCTCAAAAAAAGGGGTGGGGGGGGGTTCCCCCAGGAGACTCTCCCCTTTATTGTTGCATACAAGAATATATATGGTTTAGGGGTGGGGATCTCGACTGTTTACAAGTTCTTAAACAGGAGGGGGTGGGGGTAACCCCAGGGGACTCGCCTTTTATTTCATTTGATTTGTTTTATTGTCCCATACAAGAATATAAATGGTTTGGGGTGGGGATCTTGACGTTTACAAGTTTTCAAAAAAAGGGTGTTGGGGGTTACACCAGGGGACTTCCCCTATATTCCATTTGATTTGTTTTATTGTCCCATACAAGAATATATATGGTTTAGGGGTGGGGATCTCAACCATTTACAAGTTCTCAAACAGGAGGGGGTGGGGGTGACCCCAGGGGACTCGCCTTTTATTACATTTGATTTGTTTTATTGTCCCATACAAGAATATATATGGTTTCGGGGTGGGGATCTTGACTGTTTACAAGTTTTCAAAAAGAAGGGGGTGGAGGTGACCCCCTGGACTTCCCCTATATTTCGTTTGATTTGTTTTATTGTCCCATACAAGAATATATATGGTTTCGGGGTTGGGATCTTGACCATTTACAAGTTATCAAAAAGAAGGGGGTTGGGGGTTACCCACATGGACTTCCCCTATATTTCATTTGATTTGTTTTATTGTCCCATACAAGAATATATATGGTTTCAGGGTGGGGATCTTTACCGTTTACAAGTTATCAAACAGGAGTGGGTGGGGGTGACCCCAGGGGACTAGCCTTTTATTACATTTGATTTGTTTTATTGTCCCATACAAGAATATATATGGTTTCGGGGTGGGGATCTTGGCTGTTTACAAGTTTTTAAAAAGAAGGGTGTGGGGATGAACCCTGGGACTCCCCCAATATTTCATTTGATTTGTTTTATTGTCCCATACAAGAATATATATGGTATAGGGGTTGGGATCTCGACCGTTTACAAGATAAAAGCACATTCACAAATTGAAGGTGGTTGGGGGTAAGAATATATATGGTTTAGGGAGACTTAATTATCTACAAAATGTCTAATAATGAACAGTAAATTTCAAACTTCATTTATACAGTCCTACTAGTAAATTTCAAACTTTATATATACAGTCCTACAGAAACAGAAAATTTTCAAATAAATCTGTCACTCCAATGATTATCATATGCTAAGATATTTCCCAGATCTAATTAATAATGAAAATTATACTTGCAAATCTGAAGGGTTATTTCCCTTTGAACAGAACTATGGTTTAACATAGTACTCTAACTGTACATATATAATAATTAATAATGTAATAATCTTCAAAATGTCTAATAATATAGCTTATAATCATCACCACTTAGGAAATAGAAAATTTTCAAATAGATCTGTCACTCCAATCTTTATTGTGAGATAAGACATTTACCATAAACTTAGTCATAATATGATAACAAGAGAAAAATATTTAAAAATACCACTTTTGGATATTAAAAATGGCGATAACTCAAAAAGGAGAAATACTAAAATCGTGAAAATTGAACTAGACCTTCATTTAATCACAAGAAACAACATATCTAAATTTGAAAAAAAATCATCACAGCGTTTTTATGTAATTGAAGAGACACTGTTTGGCAGCCGCCCGTCCGCCCGCCCGCTCGCCCGCTGTACATCCCCAAATCAATAACCGATATTTCCTTCGAAAATCCGGTTAAAAAGCCTATGTTGATAAGACTTTAGTAGAAATACTTTCAATGAGCCATACTGAATTATTATCTTTTTAAGTATGTACTTTAGGGATAAATTGTTCCCATGTCTGTTTTGTATGTATCTATTGGTTCAAAAATGTTGGTTCTGATCGTAAGCAAGTCTAATTGAGCAAATTCTGTCTGTTTTACTTTAATCTAACCTACCTCCCAAGTCTATAACCATGTATTTGGACCCTTTTCCGGATGCCGTAAATTCACTGCCTATACCATCTTTATCCTTTAGTTTTTCTATTGGTAAATGTTGACAGTATAAGGATGCTGCCTCTGGTTCCAAACAAATACTAAGTTGTTCACCACTAATACCAGCCTATTTAAATAAATTACAATAATAAAGGTTGTTTTGTGTTAGACGTAATAGCTGATAACAAGCTCTTTAAAATAATACAAGTACTTGAAACTCGGCCAATGTGAATAAAACTTACATGGGGTAAAATATGAGGGGTCTTTATGGCAATTCGTTATTAGCCATCGGTGATATCACAAATGACCACACGGCTTGAGCTAGGGAGCTTGTAAGGTAATTTTTTTTTGTTAAATGACTTCATTTATTTGATTTGTGGAATAAAGGGTGCTTAAAGTCCGAGAAACGTCTAGCTGCATATTTAGGAGATAACCAACACATTTTTGTGGAGAAAAATTGGTAACGAAGCACAGGAACTCGGTTAGCAGATTACAAAAAAATTAATCAATGTTTTTTTAATTTTTTCCTGTCTATTTCTATTACTTTATTAACGTATTTAACGATGGCATCAATGTTTCTTTGTTTTCTAGCAATGTGCAGTTTACTATCCACATCCGTATACTGAAAAATCCTAAAGGGATCCAAGTCGCCATTTTGAATTGCACAACCTTCTTTAAATGAAAAAATATTATAATTATTTCTATCTGGCCATATACCTTACAAAGTCACTCAATCTCTTCTCAAACGAATATTCTATCGAATCCATGCATATGTTTGTCGATCCATGACAACCTTATTCAGCTATCGTTTCAATCAAGAAAAAAAATCAAATTTCCTGGCGAAAGCAAGGTCATATTCGGAAACTTTCAGGTACTTACGTGTGGTGTCAAGGACCCTTGAACATATGTACCACCATTGACCACCGGGACTCGGTTAGCAGATTAAAAAATAAATGTGGATAGTGTGACTCACTGTCCACATATGGACACAGGTGATGCCTCCGCTTGCATATCATATAGTTATAAAGGGACATAATTGAAGAACGGTAAAAGTGACGCTACCCAAATTTGAACTTGATCTGAGTTTTGTGGTAATAAGCATTGTGTGTAAGTCTCATAACATTTGGTTGAGGCTAACTTAAGTAGAGAACAGAAACTAAAAATTCAGCAATTTTCTATTTGTAAACACGCATAACTCTAGAAGGGTTGTGTATAAGTTTTATAACATTTGGTTGAGACAAACTAAAGTTAGAGAACGGAAACGAAAAATTATGTTTATAAAGGGACATAACTCAAGAATGGTAAAAGTGTCGCCATCAAATTTCGTACTTAATCTGTATTATGTAGTAATAAGCATTGTGTATAAGTTTCATAACTTTTGGTTGTAGCAAACTAAAGTTAGAAAACGGAAACAAAAAATTTGTACTTGATCTTATTTTTGTGGTAATGAATATTGTGTATAGGTTTCATAATGTTTGGTTGGGGCAAACTTAAGTTACAGAATAGAAACTAAAAATTTTGCAATCCTTCGATTCATAAAGGGGCATAACTCAAAAATGGTTAAAGTGACACTACCCAAATTCAACTTGATCTGTGTTTTATCAGTGGAAGTAAAAATTAAACAATGCATTGTATAAAGCATTGATTGTAGTTGATTCAACTACAAAGGAAGATAACTCCAATTTTAAAAATTACTTGATATTTAAAAGAAAATATTTTTTTTTGCAATTTTTCAATTTATAAAGGGACATAACTCTAGAATGGTTAAAGTGACGCCACCAAAATTCAAACTTGATCTGAGTTTTGTGGTAATAAGCATTGTGTACAAGTTTCATATCATTTGGTTGAGGCAAACTTAAGTTAGAGAACGGAAACTAAAAATTTTGCAATTTTTCCATTTATAAAGGGGCATAACTCTAGAACGGTTAAAGTGACGCCACCAAAATTCAAACTTGATCTGTGTTTTGTGGTAATACGCACTGTGTATAAGTTTCATAACATTTGGTTGAGGCAAACTAAAGTTAGAGAACGGAAACCAATTTTGGGACGTACGAACGTACATACAGACGGACAAGGGTAACAAAACTACGGCGGGGGCATAAAAATTAATCAAGGTTTTTTAATTTTTTACTGTCTATTTCTATTACTTTTATATTAACGTATTTAATGATGGCATCAATATTTCTTTGTTTTCTAGCAATGTGCAGTTTACTGAAAAATCTGAAAAAACATCGATTAATTTTTTTAATCTGCTAACCGAGTCCCTTTTAAAGATCTCATACTCATCTACCAATAAAGTTTTAAAAGAATTGGCCATGAACCAAAAAAAACATGAAATTTGAAAACTTTTAATGTTGTCTTTTGCAGCAAAGTGTTATCAGATCTGAATTTATTTTTATAAAAGCAAACATAATTTCTGTCAAGTTCGATTAAAATAGACGAAGTAAAGTTTAAAAACAAAGAGAAGATAAAATATGATATCCTAGAAAACCTATTTGATTCTATCTGTAAACAGAACGAGGGTGACCAAGTTCTCGTAAGTTTAAATTATTAAAAGTTGGCCATGTATTTTCAAAGAATAAGGAATTTGAAAATGACCAATCATAATCAACATTTGCTCCTTGTGGTAATGTTTTTCGCTAAAAAAGTTCAAAGTAGGGAATGTCCACATATGATCTTCTATACTTTATTCCTGCTTTGTTGGGTCAAGTTTGGATGAAAATATGAAATATTAACAGACTAAAAATCCACTTTTATTTGGAATCCGTTGTATAGTTTTTTCATAGGCAATCTTACCTCCTAATTTTATACATAAATGATAGCTTACACTTACACCTTTTGCTATGTCAGCTAAAAAATTTGAAAAGTGTACTTTCATTTATTAGTTATAGTAACTTAATTATATTTTTGTCAAATTGTTTGTAACCAATTCCGTCAAACAAACCAATTACAGTAATGGTTATTTATATGCATATATATGAAGTAACCTGATGAAAATATATAGCCCAAAATAATGCTGATTCCGCTGATAATTGAAAATAAGTTAGTAAAAAATACATCAGTTTACAGGTTCACGGTACCTTTTCTGCGGCTTCTCTCATAAACTGTTTAGCAGGTTCTGTCCAAATAGCTGGTACTGTTAACACCCAATGAATGTCGTTATTATCTAGTCCAGTTCCTCTTGTTTCCAATGTTTCTAACAAATGACCCTTTAGATATTTTATAACCATGGAGAATATTTCTATAGCTGGCATTTCTTTACCATCATCATCTTTGACCATCGTCTTTCGTGTAAGATGCTTAATAAATAAATAAACGAACAACGCATGTCATTTACGAATATATATCATCATATATTCACCAAACTGTTCTACTGCTTTAAATTTGAATAAACTAAACTCCAGAATGAATATACAAGAGGCCAAGAACACTCGAGCATCCTGTGAGTATTGCCTGGCAATACATAGTCCTCTACCGGTTAAAAATTCATTGTACTGGAACAAAATGCTAATTTGATCTATAACTTGTCATGTTGTAAACTATATAACAAATATCAAGTCAATATCTTCAAGCATGACGAACAAAAATGTGGAAAATAGATTATTTGAGTGAATTTTCAGATTCTAAGTCAAAGGAACATAACTCTGCACAAAATCATCAGACTGGAACAAAATTCGAACTTGATCGATCTGTAACTTGTCATGATAAAACTATATACTACTAGTAATTATCAAAACAAAATCTTCAAGCATGACGAAAAAAAGTGAGGTTAACTGATTATTTGAGTGAATTTTCTAAGTCCAAGGACCATATAACTCTGTACAAAATCATTAGACTGGACCAAAATTCGAACTTGATCTGTAACTTGTCATGATAAAACTAAATACCAATCACCAAATCAGTATCTTCAAGCATGACAAAAAAAGTGCGGAAAACTGATTATTTGAGTGAATTTTCTAAGTTCAAGGACCATAACTCTGCACAAAATCGTCAGACCGGAACAAGATTCGAACTTGATCTGTAACTTGTCATGATATAACAATACACCAAATATCAAAACCATATCTTCAAGAACGAAGAAAAAAGTGTGAAAAACTGATTTGCCGGACTGATGGATGGACAGACAGACAGACGGAGTGCAAACCTAAAGTCCACTTCGACTTCGTCGGTAGGGGACTAATAAAATTATAATTTGAATAAACTTTACTGAGACCCATCTATACAAGTTTACCAAAATAAATATCTTTAATACTTTCACAGTGGTCAATTGTCCACGTCATGCCACAACGACCATATTCGAGAATTGAATAATTATAAATTATTGAATAACATTTACAATAGATTAAAATATGAAGACACAGTGACACCGCTGAAGTCTTTTCTGAACTAACAATCTAACAAGAGGAAGGTTTTTAAGTGGAAGAAAATGCACATAATGACGTAAAAATTTGTACAATAAAAATCATATAAAGCAGTGGCGGATCCAGAGGGGGGCGTAGAGGGCGTACGCCCCCCCCTTTGCTTGAACTTTTTTTTTTTTTTTGTAAAATGATGAATCAGACTAGACTTCGTGAACTTTGCCATTTCCCGGTCGTGTATTTAATTTTTATGCGACAATTCTTTACTTATAAAGATATTTTTCGCTCGTATTTACCGTAATATATTATTGATTATGTCAGTCATGTGTTTCGCTACGGTGGAGTTGATCAGTACGTTTGAAACGTCACTCAGTCATTTTGAAATTCAAATTACAGTAACACATTGCTTAGGCGGAGGATGAAAAGCATGCCACCTTCAAAGCGACAAAGGATTGAGCAAGAACGTATTGACTTCTATTTCATATTTCCACTCAACAGAATGTAATACTCTATTACACTCTCATGAAAAAAAAAGTTCCACGACAATATTATTTACCTACGAAAATATATTTAACCCCACACGCCCCAGCCAATTAATAACATTGCTGAATAATGATCCCCAGTCAGTAAGCTCTAGATATATTTAAAGTCTAAGGTACGGACCATTTGATTTGATAGGGCAGTCTGAGATATTTTAGAGAAAAAATTCTGAAAAATCCAACAGAATTAATCAGCATTAAATGAACATGGTGAATAAAAAACGGGCGTTATTTTTTTTTTGAGGGGGTTGCATGTAAATCCCATAACTGACCGGAATGTCTGTTTCGCCGAACTGATATACTGAATACTTTTTTCAAGGCCCAACTGCAACCTGCCTGCTGGGTGTGGCCTTTATGTCTCCATTTGTCGACCGTCATTCACAACTTCGTTGTCATTTAATTTTCAGACTCCTTCCTAGCCTTTGGTTGATTTGGAACCATCACTTCCCTTGTTGTGTGAAACATTTCAACCAAACATTTGGATAAAAATTGCTTGTTTGTCTTTGTTCGTGTCGGTCGTATTATAAACTTCATTGAATATCCGTATATCATGTTTACAACAAGTAATTTGTGAGGTTATGCTGACTAACCATACAACAAACGAGAATTTTCCATGTCCATTTTTTACTGACAAATCCCACATCAAATATATTAGTACATAGCTTTAGATCCATTCAATCATTTTATAATAGACAATTAATGGGGAGAATGCGGCATCAAAAATGTCCAACCCAAGCTTACACTTTAACTATAATATACATAATATATATACATACCCCACGCTAGGAACCGTCACTAAAAATGTGCATTATACACTTATTTTATGTTTTTTAGCCCAGAAAAGGTCCAAAAAATTTTTACAACTACGCCCCCCCTTTCCAAAATCCTGGATCCGCCCCTGTAAAGTTAGCTCTCCCTTAAGTGGTCTCTTAAAACAGGTTTCAATATGAAAATAAAACTAAAATCGAAATGAAGACAATAGATATAAATTTACCTTTGTTTCGTGTAGTAACATCTTGAACCTACGAAAGTAATAATAATTATGGTGAACTTCATCTAAAGCAAACTCCGAGTACTTGTCTTCAGCATCGTATCCAAATGCCAGGAATTTTTTGGATTTGTCTAACAGGACAACAGTCGGTGCCTTCAGTGATATCAAGCTTCTAGAACCAGCTGTCCATTGTTGATTGACAGAAATTTTCATTGGATCATTTTCATAATCGGTTTTGAAGGAAAATGCATATCCTGAAAACGTTGTTCCAAAGTCAATTGCTGCTACAAGGATTTTACTCTTTTTACTCATTCTGTATTATACCCTTTTCCTTTATTGATTTTTCTTTTTATCCAACTTATATTTCAGAACTCATTCTGTAAATAGGTACAAAATGAAATTAATGAATAAGAAGCTACAAAATTATTGTTTTGCATCTTTCGTATTTACAGCTCTAACAAAGGGCTTGGGACCGCCTCCCTTTATGGCTATACTTCGAGTTTTTGTACATTTTTCTGATTTATTGATTGCTGTCCCCTACATAGTGGTTGGCCCCTCAGTCCCCTATTTGAAAACCGCTACATTAACTCTTAAACATGGTGGTATAGTTCATAGAACCATCCCTTAACTATTCATTTGTTACCAAGACAGCAATCATTTACAAATAAAAATCAGGTACCTAGACGTGCATTTAGAGAGGAAAACTTCTTTCAGAGAAGTAGCTGGGAAGAGTTTTGGCTCTCATTCTTTTCATTCTCTACATCCAGCTGATCTGGTGAAACTAACCCAAAGGTCTGCTGAAAAACAAGCATCATTAAACAAAGTTATACATATTCACATGTGGAAATATTTTATCCCCAAAACTCCAACAAAAATTTTTGAAACCCCTCACACAATAAAAAAAAAGCAAAGTTTTGGTACCGGTGTACCCAGTTAAAAAAAAACGTACTTATATTTGATTGAGATCAAACAAAGGCAAGAGTCAACGACACTTTTTGGGGGGTAAAAGTAGGTCAACTGAATAAGCTGTGTCTATTCATTGAATTAAACATCTTTTCCAGACATATTAACTTTCTGAAAGGAAGACCGTCGGTAGAACAGAAGACGGACATTTAAATGAAAATTTCTAAATACCCTGCAAATTGTGATTCATACCAAGTATATATTGTTGCAATTAAACGATAATCGAAAGTTCCTCCACAAAAGGTCACACTATTAATAATCTTTATTGCAAAATTACACCCATAAGGGTCAAGCAATACAAACAAACAATTATGCATTTTAAATACAATGCAATACAATGTAATACAATACAATATAATAGAACATATTTTAAGAGTTCAATTATAAATTTATGTAAAAAACACAATCATAATTAAGCTTGTCTGACATGGGTCTGACCCCCTCAGTTCTAACGACTGCTTAATAAAGACTCCAATATGACAAACAAGTTCAGGGATGGGGTTTAGAATGTGTTTTAGTTTATTAAATGCATCAAGATGTTGAAATAATGGTACATAGTCTTTTATATAAGCAAAAAAAAATAGAACGCAATGATATGTTAATGTCACAATACAAAAAAGAAATGAAATTCGTCATCTAGGACTGCACATTTGTTTACATAATCTTTGTGCTCTTGGAATGTTTCTGTACCTTTCCAATTCAATGCCTAGGGAATGATCACTAAGTCTAAATAATATTCTATTCTAAATAAGTCTATTAATAGCACCAAACAAACAAAAATGTTAAACATGTACATATCCACAGTACGAAAATGAACAAAAGAGACAAAAAATAGGTGGGACAGAAAAAAAGATTCTAAAAGTTGGAGGTGGGAGTTAGGGGTCGGGAGGTGGGAGATAGGTACCCCCTGTCCACCCTCATGATCGGGTATAATCATTGTTTATCTGATATCTATACCATCATAATGACATGAATGATATATATATTTTTTTTAAAGTAAATCAATAAAAATCTTCCGTTTCTTTATTTTTCTTTATCCAGTTTAGAAAAAAGATCATTCACAATATGCGTTTTGTTCATTACTGCAAATGATATGCAATCATTCTGGTCGTCATACGAAAAAGGGGGAAGGTGTCTAGTCACTTCACTTCAAATTCAAATAGCAGCAGCTTAGTTGTAAAATATAATCTACAAATTTGGTATTCAGACATAGCTAAAACAAATATACACAGTCTAAGGGGATACTGTTTAAGAATTCATTTGAAAAGAAAGTACAAATGTACGTTTTGGGACATTTCCATTCTGTAGATCTGTCATTAACACTTCCTGGTGTAATAATCAATACACTGACACAAGGTGATATAAACGTAAATTCTTTGCATATTTAATTGAAATGTTTGTATATATTCTTTTTATTTTTTTGTACTGGACTCCACCATTCTAACACAATAAGTATAACACATATTTATACATACCCCTCACCTGTCCATTTCCCGGCGCATGCGTGTTTTCAATTTAACTTTCGGTTTTAAAATGTAAATACACAACACAGTCATAGGTGTATAAAAACCTAAAAACTACACGATTTATAAATGTTACCATTTTACATGGACACAAAGATCTTAAAAAATTAAAGGTAAGCAAGATAATGTTTTAAACTAAATCTAATGACTAACTATTGAACACTAAATTATCAGTTTGCTTCTTCACTACTGGGGCTTGTTAAAAAATTCTTATTGGTTTATTGTCCCCCCTATCAAAAGTTTAGGGTCAGCGGGGTATAAATGTGCGGGTTATTATAATATGAACGAAGAAGTAAACTTATGAAATATTTACAAACACAACTTAAATAAGAAAATGACGAAATTGATATTAAAAAAACACACAAAGTTAAATGTTGCCTGCTCCGTTCCACAATAGATTATTTTTATTAGATCAGTAACACAAATTCTGACATCCTCTTTTCCAAGAATCCACCAAGAGCTTATCGATTAATAACGGAGTTAAAGTCGGATATTAACCACTATTTCCTTATTTTTTATACAATTATAAATACAGTATAGAACCTAAATTTGGCTATGCAGGGTTGGAAATTAACAGGGACTAACACGGGAAGTAAATGTATAAAAAATAATAATCAGCGCCTTAGGCTTAAATGATCCATATTTTGTGCGATTCGTCAGGCCAGTGTTCGAAGTACTTTTAAAAATACCTAATGTAAAACATCAGGCCGGCCCAGTGTAGATATATAAAATAAACAGAAACTCAATGAGTACTTGGGACCTTCATAATTATTTCATAATTATTTCAAGATTTGCAATTTCCTTTTCTGTATTTGTATTTTCAGTCTTAAAAATATCTGTATAACTCTTAAAGTACAATATAGAACGATATTGTTTAGAGGTTTATAATACATGTTTAAATATGTAAGGAATGCCTGTGATATTGATATGAATAATTGATTGATTATTTACCACGAATTCAGGTAGACTGGGCCTTTAACTGATAAAAACATGTAGAAACACGAATAAATAATGCTTATTGAGTCCATAGACATTTTAAACTTGTTAACTTGATCACATATAAATACGTGAAAACAATCTTTTAGATTGATGGCAATCAATGTTAAATATACAAGTATTTTATTTGTATTGTCATATTAACTAATAACATAAATAAGAAAAACCAATACTAAGCATCACGTGATTTTAGAAAAGTGTACATGTATTAGAGAATAACTTCCTTGTGGGATTACTATTTGTTAAACTTTTAAGGTTTGTTTGTTTATGAATATTGGTTCCTTATGTTAATCTAAAAAAACTTTGTAACACATAGACGTTGAACCTTGCTATTTTGTAATGTATTTTTGGCATACGTACTTTCGTTTCGATGTAACAATGTTTGAAAACACTTGAAGGATTATCTTTGAATTGTTTACTACTATTTTCCCTGTTTCAGTCTAAATTAACCTCCCTTCATTACTTTAGACAAACATTGCAGAATCTACCCATCGAGTTTATGGTAAATTTTTTCCTCGTCCTGTGGTGCATAAATATTTGCCACTGTACGTTAAGAAAACATCAATCAGTCAATGAATCTTTAAAAATCCTCTTTCTTTTTCTAAAAGTGGACGAAAGGGGCCTCGTCGACGGAATAGTCTAAGTAGCTCATCAACAATGACCACTAGCCTGCCAACTCTGAGGTTTTGAAGTTGAACCCCTCTAATAGCGAGCTGTGCTCGTCTCCGATCTTAATTGACAAGGATTGCTAATTTTCCTGTCGAAGGTCAGTGGTTCTTTTCGGATACTCAGGCTTCCACCCCCCCAAAAAAATAACAAACTGGTCGCCATGATATAGCCATGGTCTCTAAAAGTTGCGTTAAACACTAACTTGACTAACGAACAAACAAATGTAACCGTCGACCTTTGTACATTATCCACTTTTTGTTATTCTGTATAAATTATTATCCCTAACCAAGGTCGAATAAAATAGCTCATCAAATTATAGATCTAAACGATTAATATATGTTTTTTAGCAAAAATTGAAACCTTATGATTGACTCAATATTTTGAGATTAAAAATAGAAAGTATCTACTATTATTTTTTCTTTAGGCAATAAATTTGTCTCTGATAAACTTGATTTTTTGCACCAAAAAGTTTTGGAAACTATAATAGACCCTGATTTGGAAAAATATTTGTTTTTAATTCCATGTGCTATATTAAAATTTTGTCTTTGGCAATTCATAATTTTACTTTGCCAAGACAAAATTGTTTCACCTAAACCCGATCGGGCTTTCAGGGCTTTTCCGCTATTTTCTCCCGATTGGATTAAATACGGAGTTGTTTATGTTGTTTTTTCCCATAAAGATATTATTGTTCATATTCAGGATGGCTTCCAAACCATTCACAAGCACATATACGTTTGGAACAGGTCGAACGTATGGGACTGTTTCTGGTAAATCAAGTTATCTTAATGTTGAATCTGAGTCGTCGCCATACGGTTCAAGGTCGACTTCACCAAAGCCATTAGATAATTTGAGACAACGACTTACATCAACTGATCGGTATTTAACAAGTAATAAATACAGTAATTCAACCCACACTAGCCCTCCTTTGTCGAAGAATAAAGATGTTGCACAATTTGTTGAAATCGCCAGAAAGCTACAGACCATTGATCTAGATGCAGTGCAAAAGTCATTCGAAAGTTTCCAGGTAACTTACTTAAACAGGTTGAATTCAATCATTTCTTAAAGAGAAACAAAATTTGACCTTGTAATAAAAAAATAGAAATTTGTATTTTACACTTTTTTTTGTTAACATTAAAAAAGTTGAAATTTTGACTTTATTTTAAACTCGAAATTTCCACTTTATAAAAGTCAAAATTTCGACTTTAAATTCAAACTTTCAACTTTTAAAATCTGGAAATTTCGACTTTTCCTTAGTATTTATACGTTTGCGATTATCACATTCACAGTCATTTATATCAGCAAACGGAGACCCATATACATCATAAACTTGATAAACAAAACCATTTTAAAGAGGTTACTTTAGATAGAAAATCTTTTTTTGCGGAAGAATAAATGTAATATGTTTTACATACAAATATATACTTCAAGTCTGGACTTCAGATATGTGTATCAAGACAACCCCGTTATTCCGACACACCTATATTAGTTTAATATATAAAGACAAGGGTTAATAGTTGTGTCATAAGAATGCCAACTTGTAGAGTGTAATAATGTTTCAGAAAAAAGAACCAACATTTCAAAATTCCAAAACTAGAAAACTGAGCAGCTCGTGAGTCGTCCTGAATATGCATGGCATATTTGCCACTTGATTTACCATTGTTTAAACAAGGCAAAGAAAGTGACTTGCTTTTTGGTAACAAAACAGGCCTTTAAAATCAACCATAAAACATGGGATGCAAAATGTCCTCAGATCTGACGATCCTATGACAGTGTCGTGGAAACTAAAACATGGAATATGGGAAAATAACAATTTCTTCTGTTCTTTCATAATGCATGTTCTTTCCGAATGAAACTCAATATTAAATGATAAATCCATATCATAATTTAAGAACAAAACCAATTTCTGAATATAAATTGCCAAAATGTGGGAATGACGCTTTAGTAATTTGCGTCCATGGTTCCTCCTTCTAAAATTGTTATAACTGTGTTTGAATACTAATATCAAAATTTAAATACTTAGAAAAAGTCGAAATTTCGAGATTTCAAAAGTCAAAATGTTAACTTTATATCGAAATTTTGAGATTTTAAAAGTCGAAATTTCGAGTTTAAAAAAGTCGAAATTTTGAGTTTAAAGTCGAAATTTCGAGTTTTCAAAAAGTCAAAGTTTCAAGTTAAGGTCAAAATTTCGAGATTTGAAAAGTTAAAATTTCGAGTTAAAGTCGAAATTTTAAGATTTGAAATGTCAAAATTTCGACTTTGAAAAAAAAGTTTAATGCCAATTTTATTTTTACTTTGTCCCTAATACGCTTCCTTAAAAATACACCTATACTAACTTAAATTTTATTACGAGATATTTATTTTGTCATCGAACTGTAACAACCCGTTTTAGTAAATATTTGGCACTTAATTCCTTTTGTTGTTTTTGTTGTTTTTTAATGTTATTCGGAGATCATTATTTTAAACTAAGAAATATATGTTTTTATTTTAAATTCAATTATGTAAATAATAAATGCGAAATAGAATTAATGAACAACTAATATGTTGGTGCACACAACCGGCTTACGCTTACTTACTTTACACAGAGTAAAAACGATCTAAATTTGAACTTCATGTATATAAACGCATGGACACAATATATCGTACGAACTACCCGAATACTAGACCCGTTACGATTTCATTAACAATGGAGGATCATAACTGCTTTGATTATTGTCACACTTATTTTTTCATAATTTGCATTGTAACAGAACAGACATGAGGATGGAAATTTGAAAGAAGAGGTCATCAAATTGAAAGAAGATTATGGGGTATTGGAAGAGACGTGTAAAAATTTCGAAAAAAAATGTATGCAGGCAGTTGAGGATAAAAGTGAATATGAGGAGAAATTTGAAAGAATAAAAGACGAGTTGAAAATTAAAGGAAGGGAGGTTGAACATCTTGAAAGAGTTGTTGCTGACAAGGACAGAGAACTAAAGCTCGTGGCCAAAGATAAAGAATCTGCTCTTTCCAGGTAAATTTAAGTTGTCTCGCTCCCTTTTGTTAGATACACTGATATTCTGTTATATAAGTATTTTTCTCCTAAAGATTAGCATATAATTTTAATACAAAACTTGGATTACCTGTTCTCTCTGCTATTATCTATTCTATTGTGACCTTTAGTTTTGCATCTCTGGTGCATTTGCATGCCGCCATTCATATGAATGACTGGCGCTTGGATACATAATTTGTATATTGTTGTTTTTTTTTCATTGTTTGCACTGAATATTCATTTTTCTATTTTATACCACAAATTTAACACTGCAATGTATGTCTTACCTTATTTTGGGTCAATTTAAGAACTCAGAAACAATCCCTTATTTGTTCTATCCATTCTAAAATATGTCAACCACACGACAAAAAAAAAACCAAAGCCATTAAGAGGGTAACTTAGTATGTTCTTCAACAATAA